CCTCTTCCTCCACCGGGAGGCCTGGCGGGGGTCGACGGGGGGGGGGTCTCTTGGGGATGGGGGCAATTGAGGAGGGGGCCTGGTTGAAGGTGATTTGTGGTCCGGGAGGAAGGGCGCCTTTGCACCCCCCTCAAGGGCCGCAGATGATGCCTGTGCAGGCCTGATTCTCAGCCCCCTCCCCAATCTGGATTTAATCTCTATTTCTCCATCCCATCTCTCTCTTTCATTCTGTCATTCTTATTCTCTCTCTCATTCTCTCTCATTCTTTCTCTCTCTCTCATTCTTTTTCTCTCCTTTTCCTCTCATTCTCTCATTCTTTTTCTTCTTTCTCATTTTCTCTCTCATTCTCTATCTCATTCATTCATTCTATTTCACTCTCTTATTCTCATTCTCTCATTCTTTCATTATCATTCTCTCTCATTCTTTAGCTCTCTCTCTCTCTCATTCTTTTTCTCTCCTTTTCCTCATTCTCTCATTCTTTTTCTTCTTTCTCATTCTTTCTCATTTTCTGTCTCATTCTCTATCTCATTCTTTCATTCATTCTATTTCATTCTCTTATTCTCATTCTCTCTTTCATTATCATTCTCTCATTCTTTAGCTCTCATTCTTTTTCTTCTTTCTCATTCTCTCATTCATTTCATTTTTATTCTTATTCCCATTCTCTCTCATTCTTTTATTCTCATTCTTTTTCATTCTTTTTCTTCTTTCTCATTCTGTCTGTCTCATTCTGTCTGTCTCATTCTTTCATTCATTCTATTTCATTCTTTCATTCTTATTCTCATTCTTTCATTATCATTATCATTCTTTTTCTTCTTTCTCATTCTGTCTTTCTCATTCTGTCTCATTCTCTATCTCATTCTTTCCTTCTCTCATTCTTATTCTCATTCTCTTATTCTTTCATTCTCATTCTTAATTTTTCTCTCATTCTCTTTTTCTCCTCTCTCATTCTCTGCCTCATCCTTTCTGCCTCTCATTCTTTCATTCTCTCTCTTTCTCTCTCGCTCTCCTGCACACACACCACTTACGCCTTTGCAACACTCCTGCTTCTTACCCACCGCCTTCCAATCCAAGATAAGAACCTTGTAATAAATAATAAATAAACAAACAAACGCAAATAGGCAGAGCTGCCACAAGAAAGGTAAAGGAAGTTAAGAGAAAAAAACACAAAGTCAGGGTGAGATGAGGGAACAGAAAAGACTTTGGCCGCACAATCCCCGGGAGTTGCATTCTTGGCATTTTATGCATGACTCGCCTTCCGCTGCTTCCTTGCCACACAACCCCCCCCCCTCATTTTTCACCCAGGGGCTGGATGGGAGCTCCTTCCCTAAAAACAGGCTGGAAAAAAAATGGTGGGATAACTAAGCAAAGGAAAACCTGGCCTGGAAGGGTAGACAGATGGGATTACGTGTCTGATAAGCTCCAGTTGTGGCAGGTGGAGAGGAGAAGCAGGACTATTGTGGGTTGTGTAAATAAAACACGTGCTTTCAGCCTGTCCTGGGTCTGTAAGCGCACACATGTTCCTTTACGTGGCAGTTGATGAGTTAAAGCTCAGGTAGGCCACAGCTGGGGCCCCGAATTTCCATTGGCCAAGCAAGTCGGTTGTTAAACGGGCTTTGCCCCATTTTATGAAGGGTCTTGCCACGGTTCTTAAATCGGGGGTCTTCAAACGTGGCCCTTTGATGACTTGATGGCTAGGCTGTGTTTAAGGAGCACACCCCACCCTGATGTTGTGATTGCACATTTTCCATCTTCCAGTAGCCGGCAGCTGGGCCTGGCTGCAGCTCAGCTCAGTCCAGAGGTCAGGTGTGGTGTGAGAATGACACACACACACACACACACACACACGTGCGCGCACCTTGGCAGGGGAGGGAAAGTGGTGGCTGCTTCTGAATAACAGTTATCGGTTTGGCACCAGGCACCCGGCCAAGGGCATCTCCTTTGGCCTTCCGAAGGCGACTTCGGCGGGAGAATTATCATCCAGGGAGGGGCCCTTGGCTCCAGCTGGACATGGCTGCAGGGAAGGCACTAATTGGGGGTGGGCCAAAGAGGGAGGGAGGGTCTCGCCTTGCCTCCCAGGGAATGTGCTTCAGGGCCTGGGAGGACCCGCCATCGGTGGTCTTTTTGCCAAGACTGGGCCACCCCAAAGGGATACACAGCTCTCTCTTTTATTTTTTCTTTGTCTCTCCTCTCTGTCTTATTCTCTCTCTCTCTCTCACCTCTTTCTCTTTCTTCTCTCTCTCTTTTTCTTTATTTCTGTCTTATTCTCTCTTTCTTCTCGCTCTTTTTCTCTTTATCTCTCTCTTTCTCTCCTATTTCCTCTCTCTCATGTCTCTCACCTACACACACGTGTCTCTCACGCAAGCCTCTCTCACACACATACAAATCTCTCACACACACAGTCTCTCACATGCACACACACACACACACACAGTGTCTCACACTAATTTTTCACACAGAATCATCTCTCATACACACACAGGTCTCTCCCTCACATACATACATACCTCTCCCTCTCTTTCTCACGCACACACACACACACACATATCTCGTGTGCACACAAATTCAGACATATACACGCACACCCCTCTCACACACAAAGTCTCTCTCATACACATAAACACACTTCCCTCGCACAGACCCACATCTCTCGCACTCACATGTCCAAGTCTCTCTCACTCTCACACACACTCACACAGAGGGTTTTTTTTTTGATTGCCCCAAATGGCTGCCTTGGGGGTGGGGGGAGGAAAATCATAGTAAAGCCGCTTCTGATTCAGCTCCTCTATCTAAATAACTGCTGATTTTCTTAATATATAAGAAGCTGAGTCCGCAAGGAGTCCGCAAACTGAGTCCGCAAGGAGAAGGGCGGGATATAAATCTAAAAAATAAATAAATAAATAAATAAATAAAATAAATAAAAAGGGGGAAATAGGAATTAATCTGGAGCATAACCCTCCTTGTGTGAAATCAGAGCTTTTGTAGCTCTCCATACGGAGGCCAGGCATCTTCCAATGAATTTGAAAATTATTATTATTTTTTTAAGCACACACCTGCAGGTTAGAGGAATTCACGTGGAGTCAAATGGATTCTTTGCCTCTAGCTTCAGTCATCTCCAATCATTAATCCCAATGTAGGGATTAATTATTTCTGATTTCTGTGCCGGGGAAATATCTCAAGGGGTTTCTGAGCTGGGGTCTCTGAATTTAATTGCTTCAATACTGGGGTGGTTCAGAAGCTGATGAAGTGTGGGTCCCCTCCCTACAGACACACGTGGGAACCCGGAGCAAATATGCTGGGAGAGGCAATTGTGAGCTTGCAACACGTCAGGGCCTGCCTGCCAGCTCTTTCACATTTTGGGTTGCAAAAACACAAAGCAAAGGGAATAATTACAGGGTTCAACGCCCTGCGATGAATGATGCAGGAAATATTTTTTTGTTGTCGTCGTTGAGGTCTTCTGGGATCTTCCTGGCAGCAAAAAGGATTGTTGGCATCTTCTGCAAAAGAAAAAAAAAATTATAAGAATCATAAATAAATGAACCACAAAAATTACAGGCACAAAGACCCAAAAAGAAAAGCAGTGTAAAGCAGAACGAATAACTTCCCCCTTCACCCCAGCGAATAAAAACAATTTTAATAGCAAAACATAGCATGATCTGCCTTCCTCCTGGGGTCCCCTGTCTTAATTAAAAAAATATAAAATAAAATAAACTATAAAATAAACAACAGTTCATTTAGTGACTGTTCGGAGTTGCAACGGCACTGAAAAAAGTGACTTACGACCGTTTTTCACAGTTAACGACCGTTGCAGCATGCCCGTGGTCACGTGATCAAGGAGAGAAGCAACCTAGAACTAAGGAGAAACTTCCTGACAGTTAGAACAATTAACCAGTGGAACAACCTGCCTCCAGAAGTTGTGGGTGCTCCAACACTGGAAGTTTTTAAGAAGAGACTGGACAGCCATTTGTCCGAAATGGTATAGGGTTTCCTGTCTGAGCAGGGGGTTGGACTAGATGACCTCCAAGGTCCCTTCCAACTTTATTATTATTATTATCAAAATTCGGACACTTGGCAACTGGCTCCTATTTATGACAGTCACAGCGTCCCGGGGACTACCTGTATTTTTATCTATCTATATTCCCCATGGATGCTTTAACCTTTCTGAATGTTTCTGTGGGTTCTTTTTTGTCATCTGCCCTGAACCTGTATGGATTCAAAACCCAGAAGAACGAAATAAAGCAGGTAGAAATTCAACAAGTACAGCCCTGTTTAAGAAGAACTACACACCCTTTCGATAGCCTATATTTTGGCAACGTTAACTCCACCTGGCAGAGATATTATTGCAAGGTGCCCAGTCTTTCTTTCTTTCTTTCTTTCTTTCTTTCTTTCTTTCTTTCTTTCTTTCTTTCTTTCTTTCTTTCTTTCTTTCTTTCTTTCTTTTTCTTTTTTCCAAAGCAGTCTCCTCCTCTTGCTCCCAGACTGGCTGGGAATCATGGGCCCTGTCGCTCCTTCTCCCAGACAAAGAGGCTGAAAAATAAGTTTTTAATCCCAGAGCTGTAACCATATGAAATACCACTGTATAAGTGTAACGTTGACGCGCAATATCAGCGCAAGGCACGGTGAATAGAATGCGAAGGATGTGTGTATATAACGCGTGTGTTCTTATTTGTGGTTTTGACGTGTGCGTAGTGCGCACTGTGGACAGCCCTTAAATTTCGTTGTGAGTTACACAAGGGCAATAAAGATCTATTCTATTCTGTTCTATTCTACGGCAGGCCCGAAGGCCTGGGGGTTGCTAGGATGCACCCGTTGCCTAGCAACCCTGTTGTGGCTGCGGTTGCCAGGAGCTGGAGGGAACTACCACTCCCACAATGCCTGGCCTGAGATGGCGGGGGGGGGGGAGAGAGAGCTGAGGTTGCCATGGCTGCCCCTGCAAACAATATGGCCGCCCCCAGCCCTGCTGGCTAGCAAGGAGCAGAGGCACCATGGCCCACGGAGACCTGGATGAGGAGAGCCTGAATGAGCTCTACACCTGGGTGGACGCCATCCCTCTCTCCCGCCCTAAGAGGAACATCACCCGCGACTTCAGTGATGGAGGTTTGGGGTGGGGGGGCAAGTGGGGGGGGGAGGCGTGAGTCTGGGAAGCAGCCATCTCCAACCGGGCGCCCTCCAGAGCTGGCCAGTCTTCCTGCATCTTCAGCCCCCCCCCAACACACACAACTCTCTGGAGGGCGCCCGGTTGGAGATGGCGGCCTCCACTGTTGCAGACATCAGAGGCATCCTGGAGACCCCCTCCCCTTTTAGCAGCCTTCAGCCCCATTCTCTCCCCCCCCCACTTCCCATATCCAGCCCCTTTCTCTGGGTCAGGGGATGGAGTGGGTGCTCCTTGGGGTGGAGTGGGGGTCTGCAGTGATGGGAGGACCCCCGGGGGACCCCCGCTAGTGCTTACAAGCTCCTCTTCAAGGGATGACCTGCGAGAATTTGACAAAGTTTGCTAAATTTGGCCACTTCCGGGTCTATGGACTTCAACTCCCAGGATTCCCCAGCCAGCATCACCATTGCTGAGAATTCTGGGAGTTGAAGTCCACTCAGCCTTAATGGGTTGAGGAACATCGCATTAGGTCAGGACAGGGGTAGGCAACCTGGGCTCTTTTATGACTCGTGGACTTCAACTCCCAGAATTCCTGAGCCAGCCATGCTGAGGGGAAAGGGAGAGGTTTCCAAGCTGAGCCATGCTGGCTGAGGAATTCTGGGAGTTGAAGGGGGGCATAGTTCCCCCATGCTGGTTCAGGAATTCTGGGAGTTGAAGTCCCCAAGTCACGAAGGGGCCATAGGCCCCCCATGCTGGCTCAGGAATTCTGGGAATTGAAGTCCCCAAGTCATGAAGGGGCCATAGTTTCCCCATGCTGTCTCAGGAATTCTGGGAGTTGAAGTCCCCGAGTCACGAGGGGGCCATAGTTCCCCCATGCTGGCTCAAGAATTCTGGGAGCTGAAGTCCACGAGTCATAAAAGAGCCAAGGTTGCTGGGTCAGGACAAGAAGAATGTGGGAATACAGATATTTCTTGACCTACAACTTCATTTAGTGACTTTCAAAGTTACAACGGCACTGGAAATAAGTGATTCGTGACCATTTTTCACACAACCGCCGCAGCAGCATCCCCGGGGTTAATTCCAGCGCATCCCCACAGCCGGGTGATCAAAATTCAGACGCTTGGCAACCGACTCATATTTATGACGGTTGCAATGTCCCGAGGTCAGCTGATCTCTTTGGGCGACCTTCTGACCAGTCAAAGTCAGCGGGGGAAGCCGAATTCACTTAACAACCTCGTGTTCCCAACTGAACAACTGCAGCGATTCACTCAAGGACGATGGCAAGGAAGGTCGTAAAATGGAGCCAGATCCCATTACAGTCGTACGTTAAGGACGCCTTTCGTTTTTATCGCCCATCCAGTTCTCGTGGCCGAGGTGGTGAAGTTTTATTTTCCCAAAATGGTGGAAATGCACAATTACGCTCCAGCTAATTCCACACAACAGAAGCTCTCCAACTGGGGACACCTGAACAGGTCGGTATTCTACAGGTAAAGTCAGCGTCCAAAATCGCCCATCCCAGATCAGCAGAGGTCGGCTGTGGTCCATTGGGACACACCTCGCCAGAACGTTTTTAAGCCTGTTTTCGGGTGGTTTGGAAGCGTCAGATCCCCAAACGGCCCTGTGAATATTGATATACAGGAGGTCCTTGACTTACGACGGTTCTTTTAGTCACTGTTCAAAGTTGCCACAGCACTGAAAAAAGCAACGTAGGACCGTTTTTCGCCCTTACGGCCATTGCTGCGTTCCTGTGATCACGTAATTTACATTCGGAGGCTTGACAACCGACTCATATTTATGAAGGTTGCTGCGTCCCGGCGTCACGTGATCCCCTTTTGCGTCCTTCTGTCAAGCAAAGTCAACAGGGGAGTCAGATCCACTTAACGACCGTGTTCCTAGCGTAACAACTGCAGCAATTTGCTTAATGACCCTGGCAAGAAAAATCTGAAACGAAGCAAAGGTCACCCCACAGTCACGTGATCAAAATTCAGATGCTTGGCTGGTGACTCAGACTTATGACGGCCGCAGTGTCCCGGGGGGGGTTTCCCATGATCCCTTTTTGTGACCTTCTGACAAGCAAAGTCAATGAGGAAGCCAGATTCAGTTAACGACCGTGTCTGCGGTGATTCGCTTAACACTTGGTCCAAGAAAGGTAGTAGATAAAATTTCACTGAACGGAGGACCCACTTTGCGACTGAAATTATGGGCTGAATTGTGGCCATAAGTTGAGGACTAATTGTAGTGGGCCAGTGGGCCAAGATCTCCGTCGTATGGGAAGGTCTCCACCTGCCTCTTTCTGGGTGTGCCTAGAATAGAATAGAGCTGGAAGGGACCTTGGAGGTCTTCTAGTCCAGCCCCCTGCTCAGGCAGGAAACCTTACACCATTTCAGACAAATGGTTGTCCAGTCTCTTCTTGAAAACTTCCAGTGATGGAGCACCCACAACTTCTGGTGGCAAGCTGTTCCACTGGTTAATTGTCCTTAATGTCAGGAAATTCCTCCTTAGTTCTAGGTTGCTTCTCTCCTTGATGAGTTTCCATCTGTTGCTTCTTGTCCTGCCTTTAGGCGCTTTGGAGATTAGGTGGACCCCCCCTCTTTTTTCTGGTAGCCCCTCAAATACTGGGATACACCTGTTCAGTTCCACGTCTTTTTTTCAGGAAAGTGTTGAGCAAATTGAATTTTTCCATCCCGGAGGACATCGTCCGGAAGATTGCCCAGTGCACCCCAGGAGTGGTGGAGTTGGTGCTGATCCCGTTGAGGCAGAAGATTGAGGAGAAGCAGAAGCAAGCCAAGATGTTCACCAGCTCTTACCAGGTCAGTAGGGCTTGGGCAATGCTCATTTGAGCCAACGTGGACCTCTGGAGGTCTTGTCCTTCCTTAGTCCACCCAACAGTCCTTCTTCTCCAACGTACAAGCAGGCTGTGCTATGAAGGACAGCAATTTCCCCCTAAACCAGGGGTAGGCAACCTCGGCTCTTTTATGACTCGTGGACTTCAACTCCCAGAATTCCTGAGCCAGCATGGCTCAGCTTGGAAACCTCTCCCTTTCCCCTCAGCATGGCTGGCTCAGGAATTCTGGGAGTTGAAGTCCACGAGTCATGAAGGGGCCATAGTTCCCCCATGCTGGCTGAGGAATTCTGGGAGTTGAAGTCCACCAGTCATAAAAGAGCCAATGTTGCCTACCTCTGGCCTAGGCCTAGGCCGCTTTATGACTCGTGGACTTCAACTCCCAGAATTCCTCAGCCAGCCATGCTGAGGGGAAAGGAGAGGTTTCCAAGCTGAGCCATGTTGGCTCAGGAATTCTGGGAGTTGAAGTCCACGAGTCATAAAAGAGCCAAATTTGCCTACCCCTGGCCTAAACCTCTTGCGAATCTCTCTGCAATGGGCAGCTAAATTTCTCTCGCTGGTTGGGGGATCCTTAACAGGAACCCACCAGATCCCGGAGGCAGAAAAGCCAAGGTTTTGAAAACAAAACGACTGTACAGGTAGTCCTTGATTTATGGACCTCAATTGAGCCCAACATATTCATTGCTAAGCGAGTCGCGTGTTAAGTGAGTTTTGCCCCATTTTACGATCTGTCTTTGCCATAGTTGTTAAGTGGATCACTTCCGTTGTTACGTTAGGTTGTTAAGTGAATCTGGCTTTCCACTTGACTTTGCTTGCCAGAAGATCACAAAAGGGGATCGCGTGACCCCGGGACACTGCAACCGTCACAAGTACGTGCCAGTTGCCGAGCCTCTGAATATGGATCACGTGACTGTGGGGACGCTGCGACGGTCGCAGGTGTGAAAAGCGGTGTAGCAGGTCACGTTTTTCATTGCCGTCGCAACATCCAACGGCCACTAAATAAAAAGGTTGTAAGTCAAGGACTACCTGTTGTATCGTGCAGCGCAAGCCCTTCAAACACCCGGCAGGAACACACAGCGTGAGGTTGCTCCTCTTTGGGTTTCGACCTGGAACTTGTAGAGGAGATCCCCCGCCAAAGCAGGAGATCCAGGGAGACCCACACAGAGGGATTTGTGTGGCGTTTTCAGCCTCAGCCAGCGGAAGACACGTATTTTAGCTCTGGGAGGACATCTCCAAGGGCGGCCCCATGTACAGACCATTGCAGTAGTCAACCTTTGAAATGGCCAGGGTCCAAATGACGGTCAGAAGGTCCCTTCCAATTTAGGCACTCTCTGAATCCAGCTTGAAAGATGATGGGGAGGGGGGGATAATGGCAAACATATCTCCCCCTCCCTCTCTCTCTCTCTCTCTCTTCTTTCTTTTTACACCGTCTTTCCTTCCTCTTCTGCTTCTTTCCAGGGCCGGCCACCAACTCCTCTGGGCTGCTGCAGCCTTTGCTCCTTTCCGACTCCATTGCCCCAGGTTCATGCCTTTCGCCACTCCCCTTTTACCTGCCTGGAGACACACCTTGCTGCTTTTCCTCTCTCTCTCTGTTTGTCTGAATCAAAAGCCACAAAAAGGTGGGGAAGGGAGGGGATGATCTTGCCAGAATGCTGCTTGTTTTAAGAAAAAAAAAAGGTTGCTTCGAAAGGGTCACCACCAGGGGGTCCCCAAACTTGGCGACTTTCTGGACGTCAGCTCCCAGAATTCCCCAGCCAGTCTTGAAGTTGCCAAGTTTGGAGAGACACCAGACCTGGACCGATACAGGAAGTCCTCGAATTAGGGCAGAGGACCCCAACCTGTGAGCCACGGCGCACTACCAGGCCGTGGCCTCTTGGCCATCAGGTCGCGTGAGTAGCTGGGTAGTGTACACGTGTGTGCGCACGTGCTCACCCCCTCGTCCCATTGTTGCCGCAAGTGTTGTGCAGGCGGTGGCAGCGATGCTAGTACCGCACGGGCGATGGCATTGCCACGAACCTTGTGCAGGCGGTAGCGCACCACATGCACGGTAGCACGCCACATGCAGGCAGTGGTATTGCCGCTAACCTTGTACGGGTGGCGACATCTCTGCAGGCCATAGCACAAGCCAGGTGGGCCACGGCGCAAGCCTTCTGCAGGGGTGGTGGTGGTGTGATGCTCGCGCTGGTGGCGGCATTGCTCCGGGCCATGGCGCAAATCTTGCATGCGGCGGCAGCGGAGCGATCCTCGCGCCGGTGGGGGCATTGCCGCAAGCCTGGCGGCAGTGACGCCACAACCCTCACACAGATGCCGGTGTCGCTGAGAGCCTTGCGTGCATGCTCGCAGCCCCGTTTGCGTGCTGCGCATGCTGGCGGCCTGTTTGTGCTCGCGCGCGCCTGTAGCCACATTCATGTTTGCTCATGCGTGTGTAGGGTGCCTGCCCCTCCCTCTCAAACCAGGCCGCCAACCCAGAAAGATTGGAGACCCCCTGTATTATAGCCCTGGTGGGACAAGGCAACGTAGACTTACGGGTAGAGCTGTCCAGGGTCCTGAAATGCAGGTGGCCCATGCAGGCAGTCCTTGATCTATGACCACAATTGAGCCCAAACTTTTGGTGACAAGCAGGACGGTTGTAAAGTGAGCTTTGTCCCATCTTACAATCTTTCTTGTCACAGTTGTTAAGTGAGTCACAACATTTAAAACATAGGACATAGAATAATAGAGTTTGAAGGGTCCTCGGAGGTCTTCTAGTCCAGGGGTAGGCAACCTTGGCAGAGCACATCATGAGAAAGGCAGGGCTAGATGAATCAAAAGTTGGAATTAAGATTGCCGGGAGAAATATCAACAACCTAAGATATGCAGATGATACCGTTCTATTGGCAGAAAGTGAAGAGGAACTAAAGAGCCTCTTGATGTGGGTGAAGAAGGAGAGTGCAAAAGTTGGTTTGAAACTCAACATTAAGACAACCAAGATCGTGGCATCCGGCCCTCTCAACTCCTGGCAAATAGATGGGGAAGAAATGGAGGGAGTGACAGGTTTTATCTTCCTGGGCTCCAAGATCACCGCAGATGGAAATTAAAAGACGCTTGCTCCTGGGGAGGAAAGCCATGGCAAATCTAGACTGCATACTAAAAAGCAGAGACATCACCCTGCCAACAAAAGCGCGTACAGTCCAGGCCATGGTTTTCCCAGTTGCAATGGATGGCTGTGAAAGTTGGACCATAAGAAAGGCTGAGAAAGGCCAAAGAATGGAGGCCTTTGAACTCTGGTGCTGGAGAAGACTCCTGCGAGTCCCCTGGACTGCAAGGCGATCCAACCGTCAGTCCTAGAGGAGATCAACCCCGACTGCTCTTGAGAAGGCCAGATCCTGAAGTTGAAACTCAAATACTTTGGCCACCTAATGAGAAGGAAGGACTCCCTGGAGAAGAGCCTAATGCTGGGAAAGATGGAGGGCAAGAGAAGAAGGGGATGACAGAGAAGGAGGTGGCTGGATGGAGTCACTGAAGCAGGAGGCGTGAGCTTAGATGGACTCCAGAAGATGGTAGAGGACAGGAAGACCTGGAGGAATGTTGTCCATGGGGTCGCGATGGGTCGGACACGACTTCGCAATTAACAACAACAACAATCTAGAAGGTCTGCACTTTCCTGCCCCTCCCCAGGCCCAATTCACCAGGATGATGTTCTATGTTTGCCTGTCCTGTGCGTGTTGAGTCATGTTGACTAGTGGCTGTTGACTTCTTAGCTGTGCAGAAGGAGCTGAGACCTTAGACCCTCCATGAGTAAGTTTAGATTTGCACCTGAGGGCTATTGGAATAAAAAAAACAACAACCAAAATATTAGTAGAGGAAGGACTATCCTGAGCAGGATGTCAAGGAACAGAAGAGGAATCCCTTGTTTTGCTCCGAAACAAAGGATCTCGGCCGAGAGATTCTCAAAGGGTTTATATAATCTCCCTGGAGGCCCAATCTGACCACGGCTGTTGTTGGAGATTGTGCAAAGTTTCCTGCTTAATTGAGAAAGCTTGAAAACACACCAGGGATCCACCCGAAGGAGAAAAAAGAGGCCACTTGCAATCGGAGGATAACTCAAAGGCAGATTAGATTAGATTTTTTAGATATTAGATAACCTTTATTGTCTTTTTTTACTGTGGGCACAACAGCACACATTAAAAATGAAATTTAGTCGCTTGCTCTCAAAGCGTACACTTACATAACACACATTTAAACATACTCTATACAACATATGTGTAGACCTACACCCATACATATAAGTAACATGCAGTAGTGGGATTCAAATACCTGTGTAGCGGGGACTGACCCAAACTCTGACCCAAACTCATCCTGCAACAAGGAGAGGTAGTCACACACAGTAAACTGTCCCCGACCCAATGTTAGAACAACCGGTTCTCTGCATGGACGCTGCTTCCGGACGTCCGTTCTGGGCCTGGGCCTCTGAGGCCCAGAACAGATTTCTGGAAGTGGCATCCATGCACTTCTGGTGGGCCGTTCTGTGAGGTCTCCCTGGCTCAGAACAGACTTCCGGAAGTGGCATCCATGCACTTCTGGCGGTCCATTCTGGGCCTGTGAGGTCTCCCTGGCTCAGAACGGACTTCCGGAAGTGGCATCCATGCACTTTTGGCGGTCCGTTCTGGGCCTGTGAGGTCTCCCTGGCTCAGAACGGACTTCCGGAAGTGGCGTCCATGCACTTCCGGTGGGCCGTTCTGGGCCTGGGAGGTCTCCCTGGCTCAGAACAGACTTCCGGAAGTGGCGTCCACGCACCTCTGGCGGTTCATTCTGGGCCTTGTGAAACAGGGCTAGGGCTTCAGCCGGTTTGCCGAACTCAACCCAAAATTAGCTACCGGTTCTGCCGAAGAGGCGCGAACTGGCTGAATCCCGCCACCGGTAACATATAAATATTAATCACTGTCCATGTTAAATACATAACGGAAGGAGGAAGCTTGAGAGTTCACAAGGTTAATACCGTACGGCACAAAACTGTGGCCGAATCTGGATGTTCTGCTCCGGATACCACGAAGCCCCCACTCCTCCCAGACGGTATTATTGGTGATGCCGCTGGTTCTCCGTGGATCCCAGCTCAGAAAAAAAAGGCAAAGGTTTGCTGGCCGTTGATCAAAGCCGAGCTGAATCTAAGGAATGAAAGTTGAACCCCAGCGCTGGTTGCCTTGGACGTTCTCGCCCCAAAGGTGCTTTCTCAAAATGTTGGGCTCCATTGTGGCCGTAACTCGAAGTCTGTCTGAAGGGCATAAACCCCCTTCCGTTGGAGGAGATCACTGCCTGGAAAGCTCTGGTCTGGTCTTGAAGCCCCCTCTCTTCTCAAAACAGCCGCTTGCAGGCCTTGCGCAGGCCAGGTCACCGGTCTGTTTCCGTGACTTATCTCTGGAACGGCAGGATGAGGGGAGGGCGCTCTTGGGATGGCGGAGCAGGGAGGACAAAAGGGGGGGTGCATAGCATTCGGCGTGCAAGCCTCTCTCCCTCTCTCTCGAAACAGGACCTGGGCATGCGTGCCATTGTGGAAGAGAACAGCTACATGGAGACAGGTAGGGCGGGCAGGGCAAAGGTGGGCGGAGCCTGTTTTCATGCCTAAGGCGGGACAAGAACTCACCGTCTCCAGGTGATTGGCCCAAAGTCACCCAGTTGGCTTTCATGGCTAAGGCAGGACTAGAATTCACCGCCTCCTGGTGATTGGCCCAAAGTCACCCAGCCTGTTTTGATGGCTAAGCCGGGACTAGAACTCACCACCTCCTGGGGATTGGCCAGTTGGCTTTCATGCCTAGGCAGGACTAGAACTCATTGCCTCCTGGGGATTGGCCCAAAGTCACCTAGCTGGCTTTCATGCCTAAGGCAGGACTAGAACTCACCACCTCCTGGGGATTGGCCCAAAGTCACCCAGCCAGCTTTCATGCCTAAGGCAGGACTCGAATTCACTGCCTCCTGGGGATTGGCCCAAAGTTATCCAGCTGGCTTTCCTGGTTAAGGGTGGGGGACTAGAACTCACCGCCGCCTGGTGGTTGGCGGGATAAAAATCTAATAAATAAAATGGAACATAAATAAAGATGTGTCTGTGGTTTAAAAGACCCCCCTTTAAAAATTCAAAAGAGGGTCCGCAAGTAGAGAGCTCTGGCTGAGGAGGGGGGTGTCGAGGGTCCCTTCTTGGGGGGGTGTTCCCTCTTTAATTCCTCTCTGGCATTTCACAGGCTACACGTCAAAGTCCAAACCCAACAGCACCGGGGCTTACACCAAGGACTCTCCCGGCTCGGAAGGGTGAGTACCTGAGGCTGCCCCCTTCAGGTGGGTGTCTTGAACCCCGGACCGGGGAATCCGGCTGGTGGGGGGGGTATCGAGGGACCTCTTTTCTCCTTTTCTGCCCTGTTGAATTGCAGCCCAGGGGAGTCAAGAACACGGGTAGTCCTCAACTTACGACCGCAGTGGACCCCCAAATTCCTGTGGCTCAGCGGGACAGTTCTTAAGCGAGTTTTGCCCCCATTTTACGACCGTCCTTGCTGCGGTCGTTAAGCGAATCACCAACACTTTTGAGTCAGTAACGCGGTCGTGAAGCGAATCTGGGCTTGCGCTTCGACTCGTGTGACACACACACACACACACACACACACCTGGGCACACTGCAAACCGTCATAAATACGAGTCAGTTGCCAGGCACCCGAATTTTGATCGTGTGACACCGGGGGTGCCGCAACGGTCGTTCGGTGTGAAAAAAAAACAAATGGTCACAACTCACTTTTTCCAGTCCTGTTGCGACTTTCAAACCGCCGCCGAACAAAACGGTCGTAAGCCGAGGACTAGCCGTAAAGCAGGCCTGCGGGCGAGTGCCCTCGAGAAGGCGCTGGGGGAGAGCCGGGGCAGACGAAGACGGAGGGAGGGCTGGATTCCACACCGCTTCTCCCAGGGGAGGGGAGGGGGCGGCCGATGGAACTCCCTGCCACTGGAGGGGATCGTGATGCCTCTAAAGTGGGTTCAGACCCCTTCTGGGAAGAGAAGAGAGCCAGGCCGGGGACAGGCCAGGTGAAAACGTCTGCCGAACCTCTGGAAGCATCTGGGCTCCCGTCTTCCTCGGAATGGAGAGTCTCGAACTCAGTTTCCGAGGATGGGGTGGGGTGGGGGGCTGACGGGGGGGTCTTCTCTGCATGCAATGGGGAGGTCCATGATTCGTGGGGCGTCACGCTCTGTGTAACGGCTCTCCACTTGCAGGGGGTCCAAGGCACAGCCGGGCTACCTGGTGCCGCTGCAAACCGACACCAACCTGCGCCTGCACCTGGCCGAGCGGGAACAGGCCCTGCTGGCATCCCAGGAGACCATCCAGGTGAGGGCAAGAGGCGTCTCACCTGGCACCCACGGATGTCACGGGTGGGTGGGGGAGGAAAGCCTTGCTCAGCCACTTCTTCTGCTCCTTCTTGGTATCCCCTCCCCGCCCACCATTTCCAAGGGCCGAGTCTTCCCAGAAGCCCCTGCAGGGCAAAGAGACGGTCGAGAAAGGGAAGGGACGGTCGAGAGAGGCCGTTGGGTCTGCAACCTTGACCACTTTGAAGACTTGTGGACTTCAGCTCCCAGAATTCCTCAGCCAGCTGTGCGTTCCTTTGGATGGGTTCTCCTCCTTGTGGCCGGCTTATTCTCTTGCAAATCCCTTTCTCTGCAGTCTCTCCACTCCAGAGGATAGAATAAGAAGAAACAGGCCTGGCTGCTTGGGGAAATTCTGGGAGCTGAAGACCACCACTGGCCTAGCGGTTAGGGCACCAGGCTTGCCCAGCGGGAAAGGCGGAGTCCTAGCCCTAGTCAGGGGATCCGAATTCAGCCGCTTGGCGACCCTCGCCTATTTACGATGGTCGCAGCATCCCGGGCTCGCCCGATCCCCTTTTTGCAACCTTCTCACCATTCAAGTCGAGGGGAGGGTCCCCGCGAAGCCAGATTCGCTGAACAATCCCGTTTGATTCATTTAACAACGGCGGGGGTTGGCTTAAACAGCCCGGGCCGGGAAAGGATGTAACCTGGGGCCAGACTCATTTTTAGCGACCCTCTCGCTTAGCGCTGCCCGTAAGCCCGAGGACCGCCCGTATTAGCCAAATCCTCCCTTACTTTCTCCCTGGAGGAAGAGCCGTGCGTCAAGAGTTTCTGGGACTCTTAGGAGGCAGCCTTGCACCTGGGAGCAAGGAAGGGTCCCTGGGGGTCTCTGGGGGGGGTTTTCTTGGTTCCTCCCGCTGCTGCTTCTGAGGAAGACGGCCTCTCCCCTTAGATTCTGCAGATGAAAATCCGCAGGCTGGAACACCTGCTCCACCTGAAGAACGTCCGGATCGACGACCTGAGCCGGCGCCTGCAGCAGGCGGAGCCCAAGCGGAAGTGAAGACCCCTCCCTCCCAGCTGTGGTTCTCCAAGCGGAAGTGAAACCAACACACACATACACACACATGCACACACCATCCCAGCTGTGGTTCTCCCTGCAGAGGCTCCCTCCGTCCTTTGAGCGCCCACCGCTTCGCTTTGCAGCCTTCCAGCGCGGCTGAGATGTTGGAAGTAGACGGTCTTCCGGCTTGGGAAGGGCAAAGTTTGGTCCAGCCGGTGGCCCCAAAACCCGAGTCCGGAGGAGACCCTTCCCAGAGGAAAAGAAGGCCGGGGTGACATGGAGACATTCGGCCGCTTTCTCCGGAGGAGCCCGGGAGAAGCCGGGCCTCTCCAACCCCCACCCCCACCCCGTCTCCGGGCACCATCCTGTCTGTCTCCTGGAGTTGCGGGAGACCCCAGGAACAGTTCTCCTGCTTGGATCTGTAGCCAGCCAGGTAAGGAGGCCGCGATAACAGTGGATACGGACTTTCTGGCCTCGAAGAAGAGTACCGGGAACAGAAGAATCCTTTAGCCAGGATTGCCCCAGATTTGGCTCTGTTGGGAGGCCAGAAGTTGGCTTGGAGCCTCCTCCTCCTCCTCCTCCTCCTCCTCC